GTTTCTCCTTACAATATTATCCCTGAATCACATAATTCTTAAGGTCACAATAATAAAGGAATGTTCATTAAGTAAAGAAACTCTTGATTGTTAAACAAATTGTCTTTGTCAGCACCTCAGGAAATGTCTAGAGAAGAGTATGGGAAAAATGAATTTTGATGTTATGGTGTAAAGGGTTAAATGAGTCATATTCAATAACATTCTAATTCCTTTCATGTTGTGTAAGGTATTCCATAAGGTACAAATCACAAAAATGATAGAAATCACACACTTCTCTCAGCTCATTAATTTTTTTGGCTCACAAGCCAATCTGCTATGAAGGAATATGTATGGAAATTAACTACTTAGAAAATACTGCATTTTACCAGTAATCTAACCATTCAAAAATTACTTGTAAATGTGTTAGTATGGAGGATATATATACTGATGTTAGAGTGTAAAGGGATAAGTGACCAGCTCCTTCTTTTGACCTCATGCAGTTATGATATAACCTTTAGATGGCAGAAATTGATGAAGAGTAAAACTTTGTTTTTCATTGTCTCATGAAATACTTTGTAAAGTGGAAAACCTTGTGAAGTTAGAACTGAGACTTAAGTCTGATCTTGTTTTGCTCCTTCTTCAAATTTTTGAATTTCTTTGTGGTGAAAGAAATTGTTTCATTATCAGCTTTTTCTCTAATCATTTTAGTTCTGCTTTTCATCCCTCCCGAGATACAAATCCTGAAATAAAGACCACCTAAGAATGTTGACTATACAGCAGAAGCCAAGGGCTTCAACGATTAAGATTACAATAAAAGCCCTGTTTATTAACAGCTATTTGAGGAAGTGGAGGTGGCTAGTGGTCGTCTGAAGTGAATCACGGTCAGATCGCACCATGGTTAGATCGCTCCAACCAAAAGTTAGATCGCTCCACTCGAACGTTAGATCGCTCCATCAAATAAGTAACCTCGCTCCTAACATAAGTTACTTCGCTCCATGTAGAAAACTAATGTAAAGATAGCAAAAGTAAGGTATCTAGATTGATAGTTCATCGAATGACGTGCATGTCTTACCAAGAATCGATTGATATCGCTCGCGTTCGCTTGAAATAAATCCGAGCTACGCAGAAAGAAAAAATTAAAGCCTCATGTTAGGGACTCACGAAGTGTAATCTACTTTATTAATTAAAGATTGCGGATATCAGTTTCCTTAAAATCAAACAGCAAAAAAGGCCATACTGGACGGTATTGGTATTTGAATGGTCTTTTTCAATACACTTCAAACCATAACGTTATAATTTATTCCACGATCATTTATTACATTATCGCTATACATCATACATCGGTAGTTCGGTGAATACGGTGTACTCGAAAACTTTAAAGATCACTGGCAAGTAATACTTCACATTACAACATGGAGCGAAGTAACTTATGTTGGTAGCGCAGTAACTTATTTGATGGAGCGATCTAACTTTTGAATGGAGCGATCTAAGTTTTGGTTGGAGCGATCTAACTGGGGGCGATCTAACCATGGTGCGATCGAACCGGATACCCGTCTGTAGTATTACAAGTTAGAGTAAGTTCAGGGTGGGACATACAGTAATTAGTCTTATTTTGTTTATCCTTTTATCCTGGGTTTGTCTGCTTTAAATAGATAAACAAGACAAGAAAGTCAAACATAAAAGTGGACAGAAGCAGCAAAAGAAAATGAAAAAGGGTTCAGATGCTGACAGTGATGCGTCTTCTGAGGAAGATGGATACCTAGATTCTAAAGAGGTTGACTATCTGTCTGATAGTTCTTCTTCTTCTGAGGGTGAGATTTTTCGTACAGACTACTTTTGATATTATCATATACACTTAATAACAATAGGGGTATGTATCTCGCACCAATCAGATTGCTGTATGAGGGTATGTATCTCGCACCAATCATATCACAGCATTTGGATATCGTGCATATGCTGTGCGCAAAGAATGATATCAATCAGAAATTTTGGGATCAATTGATAAGTGTAATGGTGTGTGGCTTTCGTAAGAGCCTCGTCGATTGAGGTCGAGATTTATCGGGGTATGAAAGGTTCACATTTAACTTTTTGTATCATTTTTAAGTTAAAACGTGTTTTTTCCGCTCCTTTACTCACAACGCATACGCCAAACAACTTACACTGAAAAAAATGTCCTAAGTCCAATCAGAACATTGCACTACATGAACATTAGGCAATGTTTCATGTGCTTGAATTGTATTCCATCAATCAAATTCCATTTTGCCACATTAAACTTCGCTCCGTCGCGTGTCACTTCCTTATAAACAACCTGCATTTGATCACGTATTCTAACCGCATTATCTAACGTAGTCATCGTCATAACCAATTTAAAAGTTGAGTTTGTGTCATTGTTGATGAGTCAGTTTCTTCATCCCATTTTGAGAGTGTAGTGAGACTCACGTTATGTTTTTAGGGATGATAAGTCAATTTGTAGGTATCAGTAAAATGAGGTAAATGTTTCGCTGCTTTGTTTGTGAATTTTTTTTTCAGTGTTGCAAATGAGCCTTATGACAAGCATTTTCTGATGTATAAAATTGTGCTGTTTTTTTATGTTCACAGAATTCTCAATAAAGTATGTTTACTTTTTACAGAAGCAGTTAAGAATATTGAAGTGACTAAACCCAAAGCTGAAGATGACCTAAATGCAGAGGAGACATCTAGTGACGAGGAAGATGATTTGACACAAGAAGGACATGAACTGAAAGACATGTTGGATCGAGAGGAAGGAAGAGAGTCTTGGGATGAAGAAGAAGAAGATCCTGACCAGGATGAAATCAAAGGCACTTCTGCTCTCTTTTTACAAGGTTGGATAAAACGTTCAGCAACATTTATTGCTTAGTGAGGTACCACTGAAACCATGTATGTATACAGGCGTTTGCGTTACTGATAAGCCAACACTAAGATCCCCTCTACAACTTATTTCACCAGGTGATAAGAAAAGAAAGAAGAAGTCTGGCAGTGGTTCCAGTACATCATCCAACAGTCGATCATCCACCCCCACTACTGCTGTGGACGGTGCCGCCAACACCATTGCTGATGCTGTTAGTAAGCTTAGTCAGGACAGACCAGGAACGCCTTGTGAGTAAAGTTCATATTTTCCCTATACTCTCCATGTAATCCATATGCTGTCAAACATCACATGAATACACTGATAAGCCGTCAGTGGATCTTCATGATTTTCAAGAGCTTTCAGAGAGCTTTCTGGAGAGGGGTTATCAGAGAGGGGAGGGAGAGGGGGAAGGGCTTACAAGGTCCTATCAAAAAAAAAAACTCATCTATCTTCAAAAACTCATGAAGAATCACAGTGTAAGTCATAATTTTTCTGCTCAGTACGAACTTTTAAAACTTACTATGATTAAAACGGAAATGAAAGCAGGCTTTTAACTGCGAGTATTTATTGTTCTGAAGAAACATTACCTACAGTTTTTTATTATAACATTATTTTGCCTATATTGTTTTTATTTTAGAGTTCTTTTTTTTTTTTAAGGGAAAGGGAAGAGGAGTAAGGCCCCACAAGATAGAGGGGGGTTATTTTATTCACAAACTTGAAGATCTAGAAGGGAAGGTATTTTGTGAAAGGGACTGTGCAGATTTTTTTGGACCAACAGTTACTATTTTTTCAACACCATTCTTGCGGGTCTTAGAATTCCCCACTGCCTTAAAAACGACACGTCGCGCGATTTGCTGTGTTCTCTGTAGTGACGTTTCAAATAACCTTAAGCGTGAAATAATTCTTGACTTTTATGTCAGGAATTAAGATCGCGCTTTGGAAGTCGGAATCACTCACACTGACGACTGACCTGAAACCTTTCATTTCATGTCCCCATGTGTTTTGTATATCTACCCGGAATGTTTCCTTTCGTAACCTTCAATTCAACTTGCGATGCAGTCTGAGCGAACCGAGCTATAAAAGGGTTTAGCCTTTGAGTAAATTAGACGCTGTTTTAGTCATACTCATTCTCTTATTTAAATAACAGCAAAATCCAGAAAGCGCCCTGCAAGCTCAGCCAAAAAAGGCGCCACCGGTGAGGAGGGAAATCCGGCGTCCAAAAAGCCTCGTGTATCCCCACCACCTTCAGCGGGCACGGGAAGTGGCTCAAGAACAAGTACCCCAACACCGACCGGTAGTGAGGATGGCCCTCAGGGGATCACTGAGGATGCCGTAAGGAGGTACCTTACACGAAAACCCATGACGAGCAAGGACTTACTGCAGAAGTTTAAAACAAAGAGAACAGGGTTATCTAATGACGAAACTGTTAAGAAGATTGCAGCTATCGTGAAGAAGTTACATCCAGACCAAAAAACCATTAAAGGAATACTCTACCTGTCACTTAAACCATTAAGTTAGGTATAAATTGCAAAACTTGACAAAGTAATGGCGCCTGTGTAACATAATGTGAAGTAACTATTAGTCTGGCACAAATAACACACTCTTTGTCGTCAAAAAAAAATTGAAGTAAAGAAAAGGAATATAAGAAGTCTGACTTACGGATTTTCTCAGGGCGGTCACAGGTAGTAGACCATTTTAAGAGTGGATATGCCACTTTCCGACTTTGTCGCTAAATTTATTAATATTTCAGCTGTATTATGCATTTATGGGATTAATTTAGCTTCTAGAATAGGCGCTATTGATTTCGTTTTCACGGTTAGGCGGGGACAAAATGTAAGGCGAGATGTGTGCGAACCACGTGCGAAACACGCGCGCCTTGCCTCGACTGACTTATGGAAGTAATATCGCCTGTTCTACATCTTATGATGGACTGTTCCAGCTTAACTGGTCTGATTATTAACCGAATTCTGACTGATGAAAAGCGCCTCCAGAGTAGGTAGCTTCTTTTCTTTTAAAATCGTTGATTACCCCAACATCGGTATGTCTACTCCAAACTGCCCTCCGTACATTTCGCAAGGTGCTGACAAGGAGAATTTGTTTAACAATCATGAGCTTTAGATGGTGATCATTTCCTGTATTTTTGTGACCTCGATATCTGATTCAGAGGTGAATTTGTAAGAAGAAATTAGATGTTAGTCACTCTTTGTGGTCAAAGGGTCAAAACAAATGCGAAACTACATCTGATGCCGAATCATCAAGATTACCTTGAGAAACACGATGAAGAGAATTTAGGAACATGTTCCGTTTTGATCTACTGCCCTTCAGAAATATAAGCACCTGGTTTTTACTTCCCTTGCTGCCTAAACTTACCTTGAGTGAACATTTTGACTTGTTTAGGTTTGTTATACCAGATCGTTTCTTGTTCCCCTGAAAGTCATTAAATTCCTTAAGTTTATCATCCCTTGCCGTCTGGACACGAGGATGGCTCCCTTTTGTCACCTCTATTCAACCTCTCACCTTCATCTTTAAAGGTCCATGTTGTTGTAAAGCGTCTGTTTTGCGTCCCACACCACATCCTGTAAGAATTACTTAGACGCAGCTTAGTATTAGCGACTGCTCACTTTTTATCGCCGGGGAAAAGGGAGAGGGGTTGGGACGGAGGATTTTGATTAAATGATGAATGATCTTAATCCACTGCAAGGCTATGTGATATATTTAGAACCCTCACCCCCTTTGCTGGCAGCTAAATAGCACTCAATTTTCTTTAGTCCTTCACCTACACTCTACTAGCGACAAATGGTCCCCACAACGTTCCCATGTGATCTTTCCGCCAACATCCTCGCCCCTTCGTCTCACCCCACTAAGACGATTAATGGTGGCTGGAATTAATGATTGGTCCCCGGTAAACTTTAATTGTTCAATCTAAGGTGCTAGATTTTATAATGTTATGGAGTGAGAAGAGATACGTATTTACCTTCTCTTACTGACGTAATTATGGGCTGATCAATTCGAAACTTCAGCAGCAGCACCATTAACTATTGCGAGACTGTGCTAAATTCTACAACATTTGTTAGTCACCTAAAGAATCGCTCATTATTTGGTGGACCAAATTTGGCCCGAGGTGGCGGGAATTTGAGCGAGGCAATCTTCAAAAGTTCAAATGCTCAGGGGGGGTTGCCCGCGAGGGATGTTAGCTTCGAATGTACAGTGGACGAAATGATCGGCAGTGTTGCGTGATCACGTGAAGGTGCATACTATGTGACCTTTCCCAAGGGGTGTTAGGTTACGAAATAATAATTAGTTTGTGGGATATTTGCATAGCAATCTGTTTGGTCAGAGTCGTATGCGAGAGACTTACCATTATGGCGAGGAAACTGATTGAAACTCTCTTTACATACTGCTTCGTTACATATTATGGACTGATGATGTTCTTTGTAGTCTTATGGCAGATGATACGTCGACTTGCAATCCCTCCTCGAGCAAAGCGAAGAGAAACCCGTAAGTGGGTCGGCCCAATGTTTGTCGGCCACGTAGTGAATTTTTCCTGCGTTTATTTTACACCATACAAGCATAGTTCTTATGCATTACAATGGGTAGACTCGTCTAAAGAAAGCGTTCTCATGCCTCTCCTCCCTTCCCTCTTCAGCCTGTCTCTTTTTGGGACAATATATCCCACTGACTATTGCTTCTATCTCCAGAAAGATTCCTGAAATGTTGTTTAAGTGAAAAGAATCATATGTTACTTTTAAGTTTGCATGGGGGGGAGGAAGAAAAAGCATTTCAACAACTCTTTTTTCAAAAATCTTTCTCTGGCTACGTTCTTTTTTACTCTAGAGTAGTATCTGTAGACAGCCGTGTTTGCTTGTGAAGGTCAAAGGCTCCATCGTAGGGATTCCAGCGAGTTGTTTTCTGTGTTGTGGGATATCAAAAAGAAATACTGATGCAAATGAGAGCTAGTTGTCTGTGAAAGTCCACCATCTGGACTGGACTGATTTTCAAAGTAAAAGTAATATTGGACTATATCTGGGTTAGCTACCTTCTAAGACTTGTACTCATAGCTTTTGGCAAATAGAAGGAATTCTTCATGTATGGATTTTTTTTTCTGTCTTTTAGTTTATGATGTAGAAACAAATTTTGGTGATTCTAAAGGAATTTTAAACCTAAGATATCTGGTGAAGTGAAGGTTTGCACACTTTAAATAAATGGCAGTCCATGACTGCATGAGCCTGCAGTTGTATGGTTTTAGATTGTTTCAGTAAAAAAGCAATGTGGTGTAAAATGCAGAGGGGCTAATGCACAGCCCTCATTGATGCAAAACTTGCAAACATAGGAGGACTTGGTCAGAACAGAGTCTTAAAACTGGTCCATTGACAGGCCAGGGACAGGGCAGGGAATTAAAAGAACAGTGAAATTTGTTAAATGTGCATCCCATATAATTTTATGGTAAACTTTGCCACTTTGCACGCTCTGTTTACCTAGGGCAATGGAATTGAAGATATAAGGTTTTAGCCCTTACCACTTTCACTTTTCGGTCGTATTTCTTTTTCTTTTCCTTTTCCTTTTTATCCTTTTGATTTGCATTCTTCTTCAAAGGATATGTTAGATATGTTCAGAGTAAAATGCCATGAGCCTTTTTTTAATTAGGGCTATTAAAATAAAGATATTAATGTGCATGTAAGAATGTTTTAAGTTCAAATTGATAACAAGTCAACAAGTTGAAATGCAGAGGTGAGACTCTGAACAAACATAGAACTAAACCCATCAAACCAAAATGACTCTAAAAAAACCCATGTCAGATTTGTTCAACGATGGCCAGAGTTGGAGCTGAACCAGATTGCACAAGTCAAGAGACAAGAGAAGTTACAGCTGTCTTACAATAGTCCATCATTTTGAAAACCATAAAGAGTTTAGGGGAATGTTTATGGACTTACACCATTACCAACCATTATGTAGTGCCTACAGCCTTCCAAGTAGGAAGGCGCAGCAGGCACAAAGACATTAAATTGTATATGCACAGTTTTTTATGTGTCTTTAGTATATTGAAGAGAATTGATTTTCTTCTTTTTCTCTGTTGTCAGCTCCAGTGTGCCTTCTAAACCCTGAACTTGGAACTCACCACTTTCTAAGAACAGCTTCAAACATAAAAATTCACTATGTGGCCAAAGGTGATCCACAAAAACCACTTATGCTCTGCCTTCATGGCTTCCCTGAGGTGTGTCAATGATAAATCATGTACCAGTTACTCTATTAGAGGGAGGGGTGGGAGGGGGGGGGAGAGGGTAACACGGAGAGTTTTATTGTATCACTTGATGTAAACAAACCAACTCTTCCTTGAATGGGGATACAAAATGGTAGATTTTCTTAACAGCTAACCAGCTGAATAGGATTGGGTTGGTCTAGAAAAAAGGAACCACTTTGTTTTCACCCAAAACTAGTTAAATAATTTTTTATCTGATTTCCAAACTGTTCCTTATAAAGTGCCCTGTTATGCATCATTTATTTCCTTGTGGTGTTTAGAATTGTGCTGATGAAGTATTGTCTTAAGTATTTTGTGTTACAAACACTTATTTTTGAAATGTACAATACATGTAGATATGTAAACTAATGGTCCTCTATAGGAACAGTGTCCATTTTCTTGCAACAGTATACATGTTTTTTGATGTATGTATTATGTTGTGTTGTATTTCTTGGCTTGCACCTGCAGTTTTGGTATTCATGGCGATATCAGTTGAAAGCTTTCAGTGATGAGTATAGGGTGGTTGCAGTAGATATGAGGTAAATTGAGAAGATTGTCATCAAATAATTTTTTTCCATGTGATTTTTAACTTGTGACTAGTATTTGATTTAGGGGAAGTTAACTACTACAGTATCAAACAAATGCTTGTTAAATAATTGTTTTCAACTGGCTACCACCCACTTGACAATGTATATACCAAATATACCAAGTTTTTTTTTTTTTACACTGTTGAATAAGATATGGACTCAAGGTCTCTTTTTTATTTTTGCACAATAATGATAATAATAATTATAGTCAATTGTTTGATTTTGACAGCATATTTGCAAATATCTAGAGGGTATATAAGAGTTGCTTAAACCTCTAGCTTTGAATTCAGTTTTGGAAGATTGAAGCCTTCTAGGTCCAGAAAACAGCTGAAATGTGTTAGGTATGATAATAGTACTCTGTTTTTTCTTTTAGGGGTTATGGACTTAGTGATCATCCAGTAGGAAAGGACAAATACAAGGGTTCATACTTGGTGAATGATGTCAAAGAAGTGGTAAGTTGAAATTTTAAATTAATGGTGGTAATTTTATGTAACAATTATGTTGATAATAGAGAAGGATATTTTTTTTGGTCTTGTCACGAGTGTGGATAAGGAAAAAATCCTGAGTCCCCATGAGGAATCGCACCTCAGACCTTCGGATTCCATGTTCCAATGCTTTGACTGCTGCACCATGGAGACTCCATGGTGAGCAAGGTCTATTATGAAGTTCATATAACACATGTCCTGTACACTGCTAGGATCTGCAATGTGTAGAATAGTTGTTTTCTGTAAATGTTGTTGAATAGTAGCAACACATCAGCCTGGAAAATGTAATATATTGTGCAAATTGCTGTTGTCCTCTGAAATAATAATATCATGTTGATAATGTTGACTATTATAGTGATTATGATCCTAATGATATCGATTACAATCATAGACAAAAGGAAAGTCAATGCACATATATTGCTAACAAAGATAAATTTTAGAGTAAAAAGATATTTATGTCCTTTTTTGTGAAGTGAAGTTGGTTTGTGCTTTTTTGTGGGGGTCTGTATCCAAAAGTGTCCTGTTAGATGTCTTTCTTATGCTTGTTTGATGATGTAACAAGTTGATGGTAACTATGAAAGCATGTTACTCACATGTTTCCTAGTGATTCTGAGGTGCACTTAATCTTCACAGTTCTTGCAGCATAGTTTTGTTATAATTAGTCTATGTGGTGATTGCCTTAAATAGCCATTTTTGATTCATTTTCTTACCAGTTAAACCAGCCAGGGGTATTTCTTTCCCCTTAGCTTGTGTGTTGGTGATGGTTAACACTTCATCCCTACACCCTCCTACGCATGACACGCCCGTCCCCTTTTACCATAACAGGGTACTGTTACTGACCTAATTTAAAGACAAACTTGTGTGTAATCATGTATTTGTGTTGTTTGCGTATGCATTGATATTTGTATCCACAGATTGAGGGACTGGGCTACAGTTCATGTGTGTTGCTTGCCCATGACTGGGGAGGTGCCATTGCATGGTAAAAAAATTCTCATTTTATGGCTTATTTGAAAGAATAGTAATTTTCTGTAAATGTTGTTGAATAATAGCAACACATCAGCCTGGAAAATGTAGTATATTATCCAAATTGCTGTTTTCCATTGAAATAATTGTTAAGTCTGGCTGTGACAACCTAAAGGTGCAGTGACAAATTTTGTCCTGTAGCCCTAAGAGGGGTTGTTTTCTCACCACAATTTCAATACTTATCCAGTGAAAATAAGGGGAGAAGATACATGGATATCAGCTAACAAGTAATGTCATGGGAAAAAATGATAAAGAAAAAAAACATTTTGTCCAATGTAGTTTTAAAGGAAATGTCTGGAGGTTGGAAGGGAGAATTTGAATTTATTTCAGGGAGGTAACATAGAAGGGACTAAGTCTTAATCAGCTATGGGTCTTTTCAGAGTATTTCTTCTTTGTTAGAGATTTTTGATTGTGCATTGATCAATTTGAAGCTTCAAGAACATGCTCATTAGCTGGGGAAAGTGAACTCTTACCTTTAAACACCTCCATGTCTGAAGATGAAACACTTGTACTCCTCTGGAAAGACTTGATACTTTTGGGTCAAATTTCCTACCTCACCCAGGCAAGGTTCAAATTCCCTACCCACTCCCCTACTTCACTGAACAAATGTAACCTGTTTTTCTTTCTTTTAGGAGGTTCACCCACATTCACCCTGAGTTTGTTGACCGGCTGATTCTGTGCAACATTCCACATCCAGCGTATGTGTTGCTTAAGTTTTAGCTATAAAAAGATCATCCACTTTCCACTTTCCATCTCTATTACAGTCTGTATTTTTATTTAAATGTAACTGTTATTAAATTGTTGGAAATGTTTGCTAGGCATGACAAACATGAGTGGGTCATTGGGGCTAGCAACCTAAGAGCACTCAAATGTGTACTGTTGTATTTATTTTCTTAATTTGACTCTCTTTGCTTTATTTTTCATTCAATAGCCATGGTTTAACCCTTTAGCTCCAGCCAAGATCTGTTTATTAATTCTCCCTTTTAGCTGCTACACATTTCCTTATAAACGAGTTATGAGAATATGGTGTTGGATCAAGATAAATCTAATACCTTGGCTAACAAGGTTGTGTGTTCTTTCCTGTTTGCTGGATAATGTATAGTTATTACAAGGAGAAGTTACATGTTTATCTCTACTGGGATTCTCAAGGTTTTAAAAAAATATCAATAGTCATTTCTTTCCATTATTATTTATTCAGATGCTTTGCAAAGTGTTTGAAGTCATCTAAGAAGCAATTCCGTGCTTCCTGGGTAAGAGACTATTTGTTTTATTACAGTCCAAAACTGATTTTCAATACAAGTTATATTATCGGTACTTACCATAACAACACTTATGAAACAGAACTTACAATTACACTGCATTGTCTTGAAGTGTAATAAATTATATAATATCACAAAAAAAGAAAATTTGAATAGTTTCAAATAATAGGAAATATTAATAAACAGTTTCTTCTCTTTCTTAACTGAGTTGAAAAACCAGTGCACATCAGTGAATGAAAGAAGAGGAAGGAGAAGGAGAAGTGAAGGAGCTTTTATTACCATTTAAGTCCTTTCACTCTCAATTTATAAAAAGCAATTCTCTTCACTGTCCACCTTACATTTCCTATACTTTTAGCTTTGAGAATTAATTTTGGTGTTTGATAAAAAAATATCCCTTATAAATTTGATATTTTCCTTTCCTCTTTTTGCCTTTCTGCTTGAAAATGTATTGATGTTTTAAGGGTAAATTTCTTTTTGGTCACTTCAGGGAGTGAAAGGGTTGAATGTTTTCCTTTACAAGATGACAGCTATGGAAGATCAGTGCTCAGATATCCACTCAACCCAAATTCTCCCCTTTGGCTACTGTGAATTTTTTGTTGATTTATTTGACATAATTTTGTTTAATTTCAATGTATCACCTTCTGGCTAATAAGTTAGTATGTTGTCATGTATGGTTATTGCTTGGTTAAGTTGGATCCCTTGCTATTATCTTTGTGAGTGAAAGGTTTAAAATAGTTAACAACTATTCATCAAAGTGGAGGCAGCTAGCAGTGAGGTAAATATCCATTGCTAACCACCAAACTGAGGTGAATAGTTGTTGTACTATATACTAAAATGGAAAAAGTATGGCCCAAAAGGTGATTTTGACTGATTTATTCCTGCAAGTTTTCAAAGGTGAATGGTGAATAACTATTTACCAAAGTGGAGGTGAATAACTTTTTCAGAATATACCACACAAAAACAAAAAAAAAAACCAGTTTATTTCTGTCATGATACCAAAAATTGGTTGGAAATTAAATTTTTTGACATGCGATTTTGTCTCTTCAGCTGCTTGGAGATGAATAGTACTTGCCATTCACTTCCACACCAATCACTTTTGCACCAGTCACTTCTGCACTAATCACTTCTGCATCAATCACTTCTGCATCAATCACTTCTGCATCAATCACTTCTGCATCAATCACTTCGGCATCAATCACTTCTGCACCAATCACTTCTGCACCTATCACTTCTGCATCTATCAGTACTACTACACGTGAAAAGCACTATTCACCTGTGTGGTATATACAAACAAAAGATATTCAGAGTTTTAGTTGCCAATTGGAAAGCACCTTCAGTGCTATCCACTGTTTTAGTTAACAAATAGAGAAGCCTTGACTGTGCTCTGTTCTGCTGCACGCAGGAA